ATTCCGAGAATATTACAACGTTGTACTTCTGAAATTAAAAACCCACATATTCACACCATTCACAATCAATCTTCATTGTGACTATAGCGTCGACTGCGGATGAAATCCCCCCAAAATTGATTTCAACTGGAAAGGCGAGAGTCTGGCCTCTATAATCAGACACTTGACTGCCTGAGCACGTCACACGTGATATCACAGAACGCTCGCCCCTTGCTGTAATTAACTGCTTCCGATTAAGGCACGTCAGGAGGGCGGTGTTCTAGGTAAACGATCCTGGCATGTAGGTACGTGGACATTATGTATGTGCAAGCGCCTACTATCTGCGCACGCACGGCCAGCTACGACAACCTCTGCAGCGGGGCCATGCCCACAGGCGACAGCACGGCGCGGGCGACTGATGCCATCGCCATAGCGATGGGCATGATGATGACGCAGAATATTCCGGAGTTCAATGCGACACTTGGGAGCACGGCTAACACAACAAGTTGGGATAGAAAAAAAAGCAGGGAGCATTATCATCGCGATCACCAATTGAGATATCTTTGCCTGAACAAATGCTTCAGAATTCCCCTTGTCGCTTTAATAAAATCCTAATCCTACATCCTTGCTGCATCAGGAAATTGGTTCAAAGAATATTGTTGAGAATATCCACATGATAAGAAGGTACAAAATTTACTCAGGGAAAAAAAGCAGGGAAATAATTATTTGGGCGACACACACACACAAAACCATGAAACTCAACATTTTGCCCGGTGAGCTCTGCCTGTCGTTAGGAGACTCATTCGAACAGGTTTAAATTTAGACAGGTTGATTTAAAGAGGTTGTGGAATGCTCAAAGACATTTCCGTCATTTTTTGGGTATATGTAGCCTAAGGTGTGATGAAATAAAAACGACTATTGTATCTGTCATGAACTGAGTACAAAAGGTACTTTTGAGAGCTGTTTTTCAGGTCCTGTTTCGACCCGAACGTGCAATTTGTGTAAAAGTCGTTGTTGGGGGCAGCAAACAAAACATAGTAAATTGTGACGTAATAAACAGGACTCGTTTATACTACCCTGCATCGAGAGTCCTGTTTATTAATTGCGCGTTCGGGTAACAATGGCCATCAATTGAGAAGGATTTTGGGTGTTATCTTGGCCAAGCTTTAATTCAAATAGGCTTGTTTTGTCTTGTTTTCCAAATACACGTTCATGAACAATGTGGTATGGGTGAGTGGCTATACACATCCAAACCTTTTCCTTAACAAAATTCTGAAAGGTCAAATATTGATTCGGCATCGCCTCATTTAGGACAACTTTGGCCGGAAATTTGTCCGGCAGGAAAAACACAAACTACGCGTGACGGAAATGGGCGCTTGATTGAGTTTTTGACACACAGGGGAGGAAAGGTGGGGGGGGGGGGAGGAGGAGATATTGACAAACCCATGACGGAGCACTCATGTGCTTGATGTATCTCCATTAACGTTATCACAGCCGCGCTTAAAGTGCCTCAATCGTAATTGGCCTTTTAGCGTTGACATTAGCAACTTGTCAAGAATCTGACTACGTACATCTATTAACTTGATAGCACCAGTATATGATTTCATATAGGCCCCTTCATGTATTTTTTTTCGTATACATACATTGGTAGTTGGCTTAAATTAATGGTGCATTTTCTGCTGGATATTACCAGAAATGTAAAGTTTTATCTACATTACCGGCCATATTTGGGGAAGAGATTGTCAATTTCAAAAAGTATCGTGAAAATTGGATGAAGTTACATGTACATGTAGGTCTGAAAAATGCATTTCTTTCTATACTGATAATGTCTTTCTCTCAGATTCAAGAAGTCTGCATTCAGACAAAAGCCTGAAAAATATCGTGCCTGCATATTTTCAACCTCTGGGTCGCAGGAAATTTAGCGGTACATGTCTTACATGCATATGTACAAACAAAATCATGAAAAACTCCATTTGTTAACATCTGATACGGAATCTAATGTAATATTTTCCCCTTGATTATGTACATGTACCAGTTTCAGCAGTGGATATTAAAAGCCATTAAGTTTTGGGCCAAACTGCCAACAAAAGACTGGAGCCACTAACAAATGCATGACATGTCAGCGACAATTCACTGTTTGATATCAGGTACCAGACTTGTTTCAGTCAGACATTTGAAGCAAATTATTATTATTAATTATTCATGGTAATGAAACCAAGGATTCCTCAAAAGCGCCCTACCGGTAGGCAGGCACTGTAGCTCGCAAGCCTGAAGAAACCCATAGAGAGAAGACAGTGAGAAGAAATTACAGTGTTAGAGGTGGGAGGAAAACCCTAGAAGAACATTCTGGGGAAACCCACGGAATCTGACAGGGACTGAAAACCAACTCAGCCACTCCACATATTGGCCAAGGCGGGATTCGAGCCCGGGTCACAGCGGTGGAAGGCAAGGAAAGAACATCTGTGCCAACCTGACTCCCCTTTGAAAGAAACTTCTGTTTAGAAAGATGACATGCACTCCAAGGGCTTAATTTTTGAGGACAAAAAATATGTACCCTGATATTCATTCAACCCTTGGTTCCAATACCCCACGTCTCCCAACCTACGGTACTCTCCAAGGGCTTGCAATTTTTGAGGATAATAAGTTTGTTCCCCGATATTCATTCGTGAGCTACTTTCATGAACATGTACATACCGGTATGTAAGTTTGTAAAGTTACCAGACGTTTCCTGACCGTGGGAACATGGTGCTTGTGTTCTTGAACAAGGCACTTTACCATTATTGCTTCGTCCTTCGGATGGGATGTAAAGCCGTAGGTCCCGTGTGTTGTGTAATGCACGTTAAAGAACCCAGTAACACTTATCGTAAAGAGAAGGGGTTTGCCCCGGTGTTTCTGGCAGTGGCTGCAATATGCGCCGCAGCACCTTGTAAACCTTATAAGGTGCTACATGGTGGGCCTCATATTTCTCATAAACTTCATTTACCTGTCTTTAATAATAGACATAATTTCCAGCGCCTTGAGTACTAATTGTTGGTAGATACATGTACACGTACGTGCCCTATATAAGACTCTGGTATAATAATAATAATAAAGTATAGTGTGAATGCTAAATTCCACTTGTCAACAATCTCTTGTTTTGTGAAAAACGTGGTAACAACAAACTGCTAAAGATGTACGGGTTTGGGATTGCAGTTAAAAATGAGGCTTTCTCTATTTTTGCAAATTCCTGACATTTAGACTCCAAAGTGATTTCAAGCTTGAGATATAAACAACAGGGCAAACAGTTCTGTTTGTCAGACTGGTGAGCCGGGAGGAAACACAGCGAACATACCGTAGCGCAATCCACTGTGCAGTCCGGGAACAAGACCTGACATACTCCAGCTCACAAAACTAATACGTCTTTCGTCACCCCGGAACATGGATGTACACAAACCAGATTGGGAGTTCAAAGTCTGAACTGGTAAGAATGTTGTAATCAGATTGTGTCAAACGCAGCGCGAAGGACTGAATAAAAGATTGCTTCATTCCGGGTGTGTCAGTGACATAAATCAGTTTTATCGCTTCTTGTTTGCCTTTCGCGAAATAAGAGAAATTTCAGAAGGAAAGACGATCACAAATATAGCTCAGGCAGGGAAGAAGTTGCACAGCTGATCCTAACAAACAAATAGTGCAGCCGCAGGGTTTTTTGGTGCTGTGAACCATCGGAACCGCTATAAATCACGGAGGACACTTTGTCGCGATGGCATTTGGTTTCGCCCCAAAGTTTCTGCAGGCCAACGCTAGTGTGATAAATCTCGATCTGCAAATCACACTGGGCCAATTTTGTTGGAGGCACGGAAAGGAAAATTGGGTAAGCAACATTCTACTGCAGCTGTATTACTGGATACGAGACACGGAATGTCACAAGTTTGTGATTGGACTTGTGATTGCACTTGTGGTTCGATTTTTTTTACGTGTGACTGACTTGTGAATGACTTTTTGATTGCTTGTGTATAACATGCGATGGCCTTATCACAAGTTTGTGACAAACTTGTGAATTTACAAATGTACTTGTGACTAATTGTGAGTGACTTGTGAGTAACTTGTGACCAACTTGTGACTGACTTGTGACTGACTTGTGACTGACTTGTGATTGACTTGTGACTGACTTATGACTGACTTGTGACAGACTTGTGACTGATTTGTGACTGACTAGTGACTGACTAGTGACTGAATTGTGACTGACTTGTGACTGACTAGTGACTGAATTGTGACTGACTTGTGACTGACTTGTGACTGAACTGTTACTGAACGTGACTGAATTGTGACTGACTTGTGAAGGACTTGTGATTTGACTTGTGATGGTCTAATGAATAACTAGTGACTGGCTCATGATGGACTTGTAATTGGAAGGCATTTCGCTAGGATGTTTGTCTTCTAAGTTGAACCTTGGTTCCAATCTTCATAACCCTACCCCCTGTACACAACCCCCTGTCCCACCCTACGCCACTTCCCAATTCGCCTGTTGTTGACTGAGTTTTGTTCAGAGGACAATTAATAATAATAATAATAATTGCGCTTATATAGCGCTTTCCATCGTATCAACCATCTCAAAGCGCTTTACAATTATTACCCCGTTCATCAGGCCATGGGACCACGCGGCAGCCGATATCAGCGTTTAATCGGTCCTCGACCCTCACAGGTACCCATTTACACTCCTGGGTGGAGAGAGGCAATTGTAGTTAAGTGTCGATCTTGCCCAAGGGCACAGACACCACGTTCCTGGCCGGGTTCGAACCCACGCACCTTCGTACATGAGTCAAACACCGTAACCACTGGACCATGGCAATTCACAAACATGTTTGTCCTAGTTGAATTTGTTCAAATGCCCCTACCCCTACCCCATGAACGCCACATCAGTCACCTCCATCAGCCTGATGTTAAATGAGTTTTGTTTGGATTGAGTTTAGTTTAATCTTAGTTCTTATCCCCCTAGCCAACCCCCGTCCCCCATCCACTCTCTACAAAGCAAGTGTACTCACATGTTTCTCGGCTTCCGTCCCCCCATTTGCCTGTTGTTGACTGAGTTCTGTTCGGAGGGCAATTCACTGGGATTTTCGTCCTCTTCTTCCCTGACGGCATCAATGGAGTTAGGTTCCCCTGGCACGCAGAGGAGGGTATCGTCGCCCATGGAAAGGGTCCGTCTTGCCTTCTGAAGAAACAAAGAAAGACACAAGGAGAAACAAATTGAAATGCTAATTCTTTAGAGAAACGAGTGGTCTGCCTTTCCTTCTGCAGAACACAAAAAACAAGAGGATAAATATTAGATAATTTTGCCTTCGGAAGGAAAAAAACAACTGAGGACACAATGCAATAGACCATTATCATGAAGCAGCCATCTCGATTTGAGGTTGGAAGGAAAAATAGTCTGCTTCCTTTTTGCCAAACAAAAATTATCATTCAGTACTGATATTGGATACAGGGAGCATGACTGAAATGGTGGCAGCATAAAGATCTACATGTATTGACAAAAGTTCAGAAAAAAAAAGGAGGATGGGTCCATACTGCCCTCTACAGAAATGAAGAGAAAAAAAAGAAAAAATTGATAAACCTTAAAATCATATATTGAGGGCTTAAAGTTTCGATCCTGGCAGGCCTTTCAGTTACTGCCAGGATCAAAACGTTAAGCCCTTTAATTTGTGTGATTTGTATATTTCAGGTCGACCCAGTCAGTAAGCAGCTTGCAGTAGTTTTATTCATTCTCATGAAAAATCTTTAGCAAAACAGAGGGAGGTATTCTACAGGAAAAACAAGAAAGAGAAAAAAAAAGAGAAAGCAAAACTAGAGTTATGTTTGTGGACAAACACAGGGCTATTTCAGAAATTGTTTTGGTGCCAACTGGCATGTATACAGTTACAAGTTGAAGTGCCCTCCAGGAAGGATGGATATTTCTGCAAATATTGCGGTGTGTACAGTTGAAGGTGGTGTCATAATACGTGATAAATATTCTCATTGGGCTTCGAAACCATGCATCTTCAATGTGACGTCATATGACACGTGATGACATCATCATGGCGTCACCTCAATTTTAATCAGTAACACATCCCAGTCTAGCTACTGGTACGTAAATGTAACAAATAGTTTGGTAGGTATAGGCCTTAGAAAACTGCACCTTTAATGTGATGTCACATGACATATGATAGCATGATCATGATGTCACCTCAATTTTCATCTTTAACAATGAAAGAAATATGACACTACATCTGTCCAAAAAAAATGAGAGACAAATGACACAATACTTTCGCAGAAAAAAGAAATCGGTTTTTGCCATCAACTAAAAAATAAAAGTCCAGGTAATGAAAGGATACATGTTTTCCTTAAACAGCAAAACAAGTTGAGGGGAAAAATTAAACGAACTTTTAGCTGTCAACATTCTGAAAATCTAGAGTTAAGTGGGCATCAGCCATCACAGTACTGATAGTAGGCTATCTAGTTTTTCAAGAACCAGATAAGACAAGTGCGTCGCACTGTGCAGAGATATAAACACGTCAAATTGGGAGAAAAAATCACAAGGTTCAATACCTTACAAGCTGTAAACAATGTTAATTCTATAATGTTGCCGTTTTGGTAAACCCTGCATTTTTGGGTAAACATTTATGGAAACAAAATGAAAGTTTAAATTTCCAATCAAAACTTATCGGACAATGCAAATTTAAACTCCCAATTAAAAACTAATTATACTTCCAATGTGTGAACTACTGGGGGGGGGGGTGCATTTCCTACCCCTTGGGAAGAAATACTCGAACCCTCAACCCGAGAAACAATCCAACAGATTAACAAATAAAAAATTACAAACACTGCAAAATTTTGCCAAAACAAAAACCAATTAAGAAAATGCAGATTTATTCCCAAAGTGGGTAAATCTCAAATCTGTCCCTTTTCCTCTCCTCCTCCACCCCCACCCCGTCTGCCATACCTGCCCCAGAAAAACAACAACTCCCGTCCCCTAAGCCCCAGGCCACGTTCATCTTGACCCCAGCCACAGCTGCCTACATGTACAATCCGCATAATGTGCCAACCCTGTGCGTGTCGCTCTATATTAAGCTGAGGTACACAGCGAGCTATGAATTTGTCGCAGATATTTTTTGCTCGACTCAAAAACTGAAAGGTTGAGAGAGCTCGGGCCAGCCAATCCGAAAGAATAACCCAGCTCATCATATTTCAGAGTTGTGAAAACAAGATCCCTGGGAGCTGATGTCTTAGAAGCAAGATAATAATCTCTACTATCTGATTACGATATGAAAATGGAGTCCCCCCCCCCAACCCCCCCCCCCCACTCGTACCTCCTTTAATCTCATGCAAATTTTTTTTTATTATTGAATAATACATGAAGGCGTCCCTTGCCTACAACCCTCGTATTTGAGATGCAATATGCTTCCAAAACATGTTTGTGTGTAGAACATGCCGACATGGTTCCGCCAATTTCCTTTGCATTTCAAAGCAGAGCCATATTAATGGCAACGCAGTGCGGCATACTCATTCACTTTTTAAGTGCATGTACTGCGCTATTAAATAAGCCATGGTACAGAGAACACTTCCGATTTCATTCGGTCGATAACTGTACATTAAGTTTCTTAGAAATGGACTCGGAAACACAGACATCCGACTTTATTCAATATCCATTTTGACAAGAAAATAATTATTACCTTCGCCAAGGAGGTTATGTTTTCCTTGGCGTTGGTTAGTTTGTTGGTTGGTTGGTTTAATAATTGTCTGTGAACAAGATAACTGCCCCCAATTTACCGTATTTAGTTAGTCCGCATTTTGTTTGCAATCGATTACACACCTATGAATGGGTACAAGCCAGCTAGACTGGTTCCTGACCTTACAACTCCTCGACATCTATATAAATTGCTCTGTTTCATCTTAAGTGGGGTCAAAGCATGGGCCTTGCGAGAAGGGGGGCAAGGGGGTGCTTGTCCCCCCCCCCTTGCACCCTTTAAGTAAATAAACCCATCACTTTAATTGGCTGTGGCTGTGTATAACACACGCTTAATTATGGAAGCCACTGGCTAGCGGCTGTATGCAGCCATTTGCCATAGACTTGTGCGTAATTGCCAAGTCGTAGCCAAGTCATTCGGACAAAGCCTATAGGTTCTCAGCAAATGTCTGAGCTTAGCATACTTGTGTCAATCATGAACCTTTCAACATCCAAGAGGCTGGATTTCCAATCGTACATGTACGCTCCAACCAACTCAAATTGATTGAAAGCCCCTCTAAAAATATATACAATTGTATATATTCTTATCAATTCCTTCGCCTTTGACGTTGCTTTTCATCCTTCGGGAGTCCGTGGTGCCGCATTCTTTCCCACGCACAAACTAAACAAATATCGCATCTCTCGCAATGCCAAGCTGCATCGTCCTCTAGTTTTTCTTCTTCTTTTTTTTCCTGTTCGCCACTGACATAAATTACGTGGGTGGATGTCTACCGCTTGGTCGCCGCACGGAGAACCCTTGAAGCTCTCCGATGAGAACGGGAAGGAAAAAAAAAAGGAGAGGACTGCAAAATCTTCTTTGGAAATTTAATCGTGGGGTACTAGTAAGGCAATCTGCTGATGGTTTCTTCACAAAGTAATGAACACTGGCAATGTGTTTTTTAATCTCTCTTAAAAATGTTTGCTGCTTCCATTACTGCTATATGATTAAAACTAACATCACAATTTTATTAAAATATTTTCTGAGAAATGAGACAATGTGGTCAATTTGACGTGTGTCTTAAAATTGCTTTATTCATGCTTTCCAACAAATTCAATTTTTCTCTTAACCCCGTAAGTGCTCTTTGGGGGTAAAGAACCAAACACCACATAAATACTACATGTGGATGGCTATTGTGCCGAACTTACAAGCACTTGACATTAGGTAGATAGGCCATGGGTTGAGTGCAACCCATCCTCCCCTTTATAAAATATGCAAGGGTCTTAAGAAGAGCAATGCAATCCTTGGAAATGCACCTTTGTGTCCTATTAAACCCTACAGAGTGCTTGCTCCTTAATCCTGTGTCCCTGTGCCCCCATGCAATCCTGAGGTCTTGATAATCTGCCCTGAGTGAGAGAGCGCATGTGAAAGATCATGACGTTGTCGACTGCCTCATTAACCAAGTTCACACTTCTGGCCTTTAGTTAGACCTCTCGCAGACAATAGGTAAACCTATGGTTATTGGTTATTGACCAAATGAGATACATACATGTATGTATAGGACTTGTGATAGTCAGAATTATAAAGGAGAACAGTAATTGCTGTATGGAAAGAAATACATGTACATAAAGTTACTACTCAGTAGTATTTTGTAACTTAACCGGTAGGTAAGGTTAGAGTTAATAAACTTTTGACTTTTGACAAAACAAACCCCATTTTTTTTTAATTTTAAGTGACGTCGCAATAAAGGCTGGAACTACATACATTGTAAACCGCCATCTTTTCCTAAAAGAAATTTTTTTAAGTGGTCAGATCGCACCACAGAGCATCTAGAATCCAAACATTTTTTGGGTGACTTGAGTGGGCCCTGAACCCCACCCCATATTTTCTGGACCCACGTTTTTGAGGACCAAATTTTTTTGGCCCCCCCCCCACAACAAAATTGTGTCTGGATCCGCCCTTGATAGGATTTCCTATTACACAGGAAAAACATGTCTAGGTGGAGAGGAGTATTCATATTTTAAATTCATGATGTCAAAAAAGAAGGGGAAAACACGAGAAATAAGGGAAACTTTAGAAGACCAGGGGTGTCACTGCACACTTAGCAATTCACATCAGGTAATTGTACATGGCTTCCTTTCACAGCTGAATATCGGCGTTCCGTTAAACAGATAAATTGGTCGTTGGCTAGGCCATGGGGGCCATGTGCGTGCCTGTCTTTCTTCGGTACGGCTGTTTTCCAGTATCTCTTCCTTTATGCTTGCCGGTGGGACCCAGAGAAATTATCGGCGGAATTGAATTACATTAACGTGAACGGCTCGCAGATAGCGCGATTAATCGAATCAGATGTAACTTGGGCACTAAGCAAAGCAACCGGCAAAGGTTAGGGTTGTCAGGCATGCTGGTAAGACTTCAGTGTGTCATTCATGCACTTGTACATGTACTAAGGTTATATGATCATTTACTTTTTATGCATTTTTTTTTCGTTGGAAGCAATAAACTTGCTCCGTT